CCGATTCGATGCCGAGATCGCCGTCCCGAACGTCAACACACAATCCGAGCTGGCAGCCGTCCTGCGGGAATCCGGTGCCTTCTCCGATTCCGACCAACAGCGCGCTATCAGTGAGATCCAGGAGATGACAGGTAACACCGAAATTGGGGTTGGCATCAAGAAGATCCTCACCGGTATCGAGACGGCGAAACAGGACCAGGATGTACCTGGCCGCTTCGCTCGGGTCATGTCTCGTGCTATTGCTGCGAACCGAGGGTCGATATAGACTGGGGTTCAGGTTTAACGAACTAGTTGTGAACTTGTTCGAGATATGTCAGATGGAGTATCTGTAGATCTCTGCCACGACCACTATGATTATGGCTTTTGTAGATGCATGAAGCAAACTCAATAGAGACGATATACCACATCACAGTTACAGTCAAATCCCCTTTCATGCCTCAATGTACTCGCGCTTTCTTACACCTAACGTTCAAACGATATCCGCCTCACTTCTACCCCAAACCCTGTTCAAGTACCATCATCCACGACACAACCTCGCTCACTTCTCGTTCGGAACCGTTTTCGGTACACAACATCTCTCTACATGTCCACCCACCTGCACAAAACCTGTCACTGTCAGACTCCATTCCAATAACCTCACATACATCTGACACCCCGTACTCCTGATCTCAACAACATCCCCGGAAGACACGGCATCGTCATGTCGTATCCCAGTAAGTCGAAACTACAAGTCCGTGGTTTCGGAGGTCGCCGCCGCTTTTTCCATTCCGTCCTTCCCGAGTCGCACTTGGGCCGCCCTGCTTCCGAGTGGGCGAGACCGAGCCGTTGGGTGAACGAGGATGAGGGGTGGGGTCGAGGTCTAGGTGGGGCAGAGGTGCACGACATATGGTGGCTTGCTTCTGTTGGGTTGGGATACTGGTCTTAGATAGACGGTGGTGGGGCGAGATCTGAAACTCTAAACCGGTGTTGTTTTGTGTAACGGAATGGGCTAGCTGAGATCGGTTGGGACGTTGGGATGGGTCTACTACAGTTCGGTTAAGTGATGGCTAGCAACTGGCTAGGTTTGAGATCACTGCTAGAGTGTTGGAATGTGGATCGGGCACGTGTACAGTCAGTAGGTCTACGAGTGCATCTTACAAATCCGCTGCAACGGTACACTTGAGCAAGATCAAAGTCACGGTTTCTTAACATTTCTCACGCTGAACCTGATTCAACAAGTGCATTTTGCATGCGTGCGAGTGGGTCACTCCGCTCGGAAGTGGATCGTTACATAAACACGTTAAGAAGATTGAAGAAGCTACCCCAAAGAGACACTCGTGACTGGCGAGCCGTCCGTCCGTCTGTCACATGATATGATGAGTTCATGACGCCGATCCAAAAGCAGTCCATTTCCCAAACCAAGGAGACGAAAACAGAATACGCAGCCTTGCTCAACACTTCATAGCCGCCGTTGAAGCCCCACCTTCCAGTCTTACATGTTCGACGAATAAGCAAGCGTACCAGCTTTCCAGCTCGCAGCTCGCCTCTGGCCCGTCGACCGTTGGCATGGACCACGCCAGCGCCGCACTATCCGAGTGCCTTGAGTCGATTGGCAGCTGCCATTCGCTGAGCGCTTGCATCGAACAGCGGGCCGGTCCGCGGTATATTTTTGGGAAAAGAAAAGCCGGCGTGTGGGTCGCTAAAGCAGCGACGCCGTCTACCGAGAGTGGATCGTGAACGACAGTTCGCGTTTCGACGTCTACCGTAAGCGGTTTGGAGACGTCCTGAGTTATGAAAGAAATAATGAAGTCGATGGTATCCCTAGAATCGTAAAGTGAACGTATGCCGCCCGTTTTTTGAGAAAATCCGAAAAGTTGTATGGTTGTATCATCCACAGGCCGTAAGGCGAATATTGTAAGAAGCGCAAAGAACTAGTAGTCAAGAGGTGCTGGGTATCGGCCTTGAGCGGTGCGGAACTGCTCAGGGTACTTTCGCGCCGCACGCTCGTTGAGGGAGCTGCCAATTTGTCAGTCATGCTGTTCAAGCTTAAAGTCGCGGTCAACTCACTCCACGCGTTTCTGTGTGTATTGCAAATCTCTCTGCACGTCTTTCGCGGCTTTCATCCCGTCTGCGAAGCTCATGCGTGCGCCAGCTAGTCGGCGCTGAGCAAGTTGTTGCAGTTCGAGAAGCTCGCGATGCTTGGCGTTCAACTCGCCAGATCTGCACGTCGTGTCAGTTCCGCAAACGCAATTGATACCGCGCGAACGGTCGCGCGGTGAGATGGCTATCAGACTTACGTTTGTGCTTGCTTCGCTAAGCTGCGATCTAGTGGCATTGGGTCGAATGAGCCGTTTACACGGCTGCCCATGTAATCGAGAAGATCTACGCTCGCAGACCCACTGCTGGAATCGTAGTCGCTTGCGCTACCGGCGTAGTTGCTGGAAGTCGCCGACGGCTCGTAAGAAGGTACGCCGGACGTTGTGACGCTGGATGGAGCTTCAGGTGGTGATGCTGCTCCACGTCCGTAGCCATGGTGTTGGGGCGGGTAGTAGAAGCCCGGCTTCTGTGGCATGCTGATCGGGTAGGAGGATTGGGGCAATTGGTAGAACGAGTGGGTGGCAGCCATTTTGGGTAGCGTTTGGATCTCTGATGGGTGTTGTGAAAAGGTTGGGTAGTGTGTCGGAGCGAGGCTCAAGTTGTATGATAGCTTGAGTGATTGATGAGGCACTGGAGGTGGCTCAGGACAGGGCTTGAATGTGGTGCAATCTAGTGATATCTCTAACGAGGTGAGTGAATACAGAAGCAGAAGGGAAGCTCGTAGGGCCTGTGAAAGGGCCTCTTTTTATACCCTTCAGCCAGAGACGTACTAGGAGCATGCTGGTCAACGGGGCAATGCTCTGACCCCTTCATGCCGGCTCAAGCTCGCGACCCCGCCCTTGTGGTGATAAAGGTGCATGGTCTTACGTCCACTGAGGTCTGTTTCCGCTAGAGCCGGCTTGATGAGCGTCATTTAGACTGGGCTGGATGAGTGTCCTTGGCCGTGGACGGCAGCCGATCCACGATGCCTCGGAGCGATACTGGATGCTAAATGTGCCAATTGGCCAGGACAAGAGACTAGTGGACAAAAGGGCCAGCTCGTATCAGCATAGAAGGTTCAGCGGAGCGAATTGGCGTGCAATGGCGAAAGGTCGCGTCTGTGGAAGCAGTACCGTCGATGGCCGGCATCAGTGCGTTGCTAAAGGCAGCAAGGCAGAGTAAGCGCAGCAGACGCAGACGCCAACGCCGTGTAAAAGCAGCGCCGGTGGAGCTATGTACATGCATGGGTAGTCTGCCGGACGGCCATGCTAAGTGTTGTCAAGTTGATGCGTTGGCTCGACAGCTGCCAGCGCCTTTGAGCATGCAATCTGGAACGGGATGCGGAGGATCAGACATTGCATGACACCAGTGGCGGGGATTGTTTGCACGCAACTGTAGGAGAAAGATTGCGCGCGCCGACATGCAGCGCAATGGGAGGACGGCATTTCCTGGGAAAATGTCATGGTCACGGCCATGGAAGGTCGTGGAGGAATATTCGGGTCCTAGCAGTAGCCCCGCCTGCTCTTGCCCCTCGTTGGGTCGGTGCGTCATCCTTGCGAGCAGCACGACCGACAGGCCCTTTCACCGGCAATTGGCCATGGACGCGAAGACCACGCCTGACTGCAGGACACACTTGGCTCTTGATGCCTGAAGCCGATGTGCAATCCCTGCACTGCGTAACCACGCACGACACCTCACACACACCCGCACACGTTCCAATGGCACGTCAACCATAAAGTAAGAGCATATCTAGTGGCGGTGAAAGATTCTGTCTAGCTCCAGCCCATGACATGTGATCGGCTCGGTATGCGCCTAACGCCCTTGCATATACCGGCCAGCCATCTCTGGTGTGGCGACTGCCACTACGCGACCGTTTTGGGTAAGCTACGACTTCGGAGAGTCCGCATCATGAACACGGAAACCATTTTGATGATTACAGCCCAGAACCGATGACAACTACTCGGAGCAACATATTGCAGTCACAGTCAGCTTGTGCTCATACGACCCGCTGCACTGGTGCCTCGATGGCGTTTTACGAGCCGATCCGGTATCACGACTGTCAAAGACAGACAGCCATGTGAGTTGCGCGTGGTCGCTACTCGAAGTCACTGTCGTACAAGATTCCCGGTATCTGGCTCAGCCACGGACCCAGTTCTCGCCAATGGAGCATTGTATCAGTTTTCCGAGCCACTCATATGCAGGAACTATGCGCCGAACCCGGTATGCAATGTCGGTAACACTACACTATTAGCACAGATGCGCTACCAGGATGTTCTCCAAAAGCGCGACCCGTTGTTTGGGCTTCGTTAGGCACGGCGTTCGGGTGGCTAGCTCTCAGTATGACACCTCGGCGATCATATCCACGCGTATGGGCTGACGCTCGCCTATGCTCGCTGGTTACAGATAAGGTCACTTTGACAGCGGGAGCCACTCAAAGTCGCTTGCAGTGGTGGAAGCTTGTCGTTCGGGGAATTGATGCACCTTGGGCACGGGTCTCCCGGCATAGCCATGGTTGTTGCTGACATAGTTCAAGACAGTCTCGAGATCAAAGCCTCCTGACACACCGGGTAGAAAACGCTGCTGCTCATGAACTGTAATCATTCCTCGGATCTTCACATCGCTCTGCGAAATCCATTTATACAAGTCACACAGCTGAAGTTCACTTAGGTTGATTGCACTGACAAGCAATCCTACGTCTTCCACATGATTAGAGCTCCCATGATCACGATGACCCGCACTGGGGGTTGCAAAAACTCCGCATTCTACAGAATTCTCATACAAATTTTCATCTTTCTAGTAGCATACGCTATCTTAGAGACTACACTAAATTACAATAATGTGGATGCAGCGAACCTTGCAAATGCGACACGCATTGTTGCCAGCCCTCGTGCCCGCCGCGTCCAAAAGGCTCAATCAAATAACAACAAGCCCGTCAAATAGGCCCTTCAAATAAGCCCGGTACTGGGCCTGGGGGGCAAAAGTAAGTGGCGCGGTTCTGAGCTCATCCACGCTTTGTGGCGGTCCGAGTCTGAAGACGATCGTGACTCCCAGTACTCATCTGACGACCAATCCGGCACCCAAGCCTCCACCTCAATACCGAGCTCTTGTAGACGGCTAATGGGGCCTCCGGCCCAGTCCTTATCAATTGGGCGGCCAATTTCGTCTAGCGTAACCTTTCGTAGTTCAGGGAAACCACCGTGGTGACGGCGCGCAAAAATAATACCATCCGTTATGTTCCAGATGCTGTCTTCCACGTCGTCGAGACGAGTGATGACCAGTTCTTCTAAAGTGCTAGGCAGTATATCGCCTACCTCTGCCATTGGTCGTTCTTCTGAAGGACCTGTTAGTAGCCAGTGGGGCAGTTCGAGACGACGTAGCTTAGTAAAGCTGCTGTAATCTGCATGATCGAGTTTTCCAACGTACCATCGATCCTCACAGCCCTTTTCTGATATGCGCAAGGCCATGCTGTCTAGTGTATCCGTCAGACTCGAAAGCTGCTCTGTGACGAAATGATAAAGCGGCTCGTCTAGGCTATCGTTGTACATCCACTGGTCGTACAAGCTGTCTTTGACCACCTTCCTGTATTCCTGTGGGCTATCTCGGTCGGCTTGCTTCACTATTACGTTAGAGAGCCAGATTTCCAATACTTTGAGAGACGAGAAGCGCGAAAGGAAGTCGTTGGTCTTCTCGGGATCTTCAGATTTGAATTGAGAAGTACACATGTCCCATGTGAGTGTATCAATAGAGGATGTAAGGTTGTCCGGGACTTTAGTGTCTTCTAGATGGCGGCAACCGCGACCTATGTGCAGAATCTTAAGCGATGGTAACTCACACCAAGACCACTCAAAAACTTGGGCGTTGAAGTGCAGTTCTTTGAGCTTCGCCAGTCCCTCCGGGTAAGATGAGCTTTGAGGCCCAAAGATCATCTCAAATGGGCTGATTGCATCCGTGTAGCGTTGATAATCGTATTCGTGGCGGTACGATTGCTCTTCAGCCAGTACCTCAAGCTTCAACACCTCCAGCTCAGACGTCTGCTCTAAAATGAACCCGACCAGGGCGCATTCGTTGACTTGTACCAGTAAAGAGTCAGGCATGAAAGACCCTTGAGGAGACATCAGCGATGGCTCGACAGTAACCATACGATCTTCTGGATGTAGTTCGAGACTACGTACAATATTTCCTAGACTTAGATTTTGGACCAGAATGTGTGCTAAAGCTGCAATGCCGCTGGGTTCATCAGGTAAGGTCCGATCAGGGACGCGGACGGCGCGCCAGAGTAGATCTCGAGCGACGGGCTCCATCTTTTTAGAGACCAATGCTAGCGAGCGTAGGCTCTCGCGATCTAGATCAGACGCAACCTTGATGAGTAGTTCGTTTGGGAGCTTCTCCATAGTTGAGTTTTCGATGTATATCCGATGGTAATGAGAAGAACTAATTCTCGATCCAGGTATCGAAGTCAATTGAAGTTGTGAGAGACGATGAATAGGGAATAGAAAATACATGTCTGATGTACTTGGAGGGTTACGGCAGACCTCATTGTGAATGCGACTACAGATAGCAAATGCGTGGCGCTGTTCGCAAGCAACACCTCTTCGCCGAAAACAGTTTTTGATTAAAGAGATTCACACTGTTAGCTCAACTCCTCATCAACGTGATTTGGTTCAACCCAAGTGAATGCGAGTGCAGCAGGATGGCGGATACAGATGTGCAGGTATGTCTTCTCCAAAGTGGGGCGGGATTCTCCACGACACGCTAACGCGGGTAAATTACCCCGAGCTCGAAGTCGGCGTCATTGCTGTCTCTCACAACAGCCACAATGACTCTCTAGCCATCTCGACATAGTTCCGAGGAGGCTTTATGTCCATTCGCGCAATGGCATATGAGTGGAGGAGACAGGTGGTGGTGGCGCCCAGTTGACACGGTGAACGACCGAATGGCGCCCCGCATCTTCTTCCCGCCATCGCGGAGCAACAATAGCGAGCGAATACAACTGCCGAGCGTCACGTTGGAGTCTGTATGATCGCCTAACTCCGGTGTTGTAAGTACATATCATCGTATACATCCTCGCCAACTCTCGAGAATAGCAGCGTCTATTCACTTGTGCGACTTAGTTAACATGGCACTAGATTCCCTCCTTCACCTGCCGCCCTACCTATGGCTTTCACTCGTCCTCGCAGTACCCCTCGCAACGCTCCTTCACGATGTCTGGGTATGGATCCGAATGCCCCCAGGACCCACGCCTCTCCCGTTCCTCGGCAATAAGCTCCAGCTACCCAAGTCGAAGCCCTGGATCGAGTTCCAGAGATGGTCCAAGATATACGGTCCCATCTTTACGATATGGATTGGTCGCAAGCCTACCGTCGTCATATCCGACCCGAACATCGCTGTCGAGCTGATGGAGAAGCGGAGCACGAAATACTCGTCGCGACCACGTATGGTAGTCATGGGTGAGATACTCTGGGACAATGCTAGTATACTAGTACAGCCATATGGTAAAGAGTGGAGTGTGCGAAGGAAGTTGCTACACCAGGCCATGACTCCTAAGGCTCTAAGGCTATACAAGCCGGTTCAGACCGCAGAGGCATCACGATTGTGCTACCAGCTGCTCGAAAGCCCTGCGAATTGGGAGAAGCTCCTCGAGCGCTTCACCTCCAGTATCGTATTCTGTGTCGCATACGGGCATCGCATCGACTCGCTCAATGCCAACGTTATCCACCAGCGCTTCAAATTCATGCATGTCGCTGCGTCGCTCAACGTGCCCGGAAAGTACCTCGCCGAGTCATTTCCCATCCTCAAACATGTTCCCGATGCGCTGGCACCTTGGAAGGCAGACATAAAGGCACGTGGTCGCGAGGAGGCAGCTGCGAACATGGCTCTGGTGGATGTTGTACGCTCGGATCTAGCGAGGGCAAAAGTCCAGGGTGACGATATCCCAGATTCGCTGTGCAAGCTTCTTCTAGAACTACGAGAGAAAGAGCACATCCCGCTGTCGGATCGCAACTTCTCCTACATCCCAGCATCGCTCTTTGGTGCTGGATCTGATACTACGGCATCGACTCTATGCACCGCCTTCCTGGCATTGGTCACACACCCCGAGAGCTTACATGCCGCCCACCGAGAGCTGGACACTGTCGTTGGCGCAGACCGCAGCCCTACATTCGAAGACGAAGCGAGCCTTCCATACATTCACGCTCTCGTCAAAGAAGTTCTACGCTGGCGTCCCGTCGCAGTCCTAGGTGGCACACCCCATGCATCCACAGAAGACGATCGTTACGAAGGCTACTACATCCCTTCTGGCACCACCGTTCTAGGAAACTCGTGGGCCATCAACCTAAACGAGGAGTACTATCCTAATCCACACCACTTCGACCCCACACGCTTTCTCGACGAAGCGCTCGCAGAACGCTCCAAGGCTCCCACGCCACTTACGGGCAAGCCTCATCCAGCGAAATCAGGTCACTCTTCGTTTGGATGGGGAAGGCGCATCTGTCCTGGCGCCAACCTCGCGGAAAACAGTTTGTACATTGCGCTAGCGAAGATTCTGTGGGCATTCGACATCCAGCCCAGGGAAGGGGTCAAGTATGATACCTTTGCGTATACAGAGGGCTTCAACATCCGGCCGCAGAAGTTTGAGTGTGAGATTCGCGTCAGGAGTGAGGCACATAGGCAAGTGTTGATGGAAGATTTGAAGAACGCGGAGAACGTTTTGGAGAAGTTCACGCCTTTCCAAGAATATTTAAGCATACATGATTGAGGAACGGACGTGTTGAGGGGCGATGATGTTACTAGCTTGATGAATCGTATTCAATCGTAAGATCATATCTATCTCTACTTAAACTACATATCCAGACGTAGCAAAGTGTGACAAGTGCCGTGTCAATCGTTCTATCCCAGAACGATGTCAAATCCATGCCACCCAGTATAACCCATATCCGAGTCAAAGCTCAGGATCCAAGAACCAGAACGCCGTCGCCATGCAGGTAATCCAAGATGCCGTACACCTAATCCCAGCTTCATGCTCCGAATAGAACAGCAACACCGACTGCCAAGACGACAGCCAGTAGACTTCCACTCTCCTTCACACCAGCACCAGTGCTCTGCACCAGCGGCTCTGTGCTCAGTTGCTTCCTTCCTTGCGCACCGCTAACACCGTTCGCACGATCGACACTTGCAATCGCGGGTCCAACGTTGAAGAAATCGACCATGACAAAGCTGGCCGGCTTTCCGTACACAGTAGTACACTCTTGTACAGCCTCACCCAAGCTACCAAACCCGGTTTCCGCGTTCGTTACATTCGCGTAAGTCTCGTTGGGTGACTGGATGCCAAATAACTGCGTCTCGTACAAGAAGTGGTTCTGCAGGAACATGCGACCGGATTCGAGGGCCGTGGACGGGTTCCCAGCGACAGCGGATGGGCGAGACGGATTGCAGGAGTAGTTTGAGGGGGAGATGTTCTCAAAGTCGTTCTCGAACACGTATGTGAATTGGTCCATGAGGTATGGGAATTCCGCTGACGGCTCATCCAGGCTGGCGACGAAGGACATGAGGCGCGTGTTGTTGCCGATGAGCGTGTCGAGCGTGGGCCATGTTTGCGGCACGGTGGTTAGATCTGGCGGGCTGTAGGCGAGCTTGTCGAGGCCCGAGGAGGAGAAGACGCCACCGAGGTCGGCGGGAGAGGCGTTGTCTGAGTTTACGAGGATGAGCGTTACGACGTCGTTTGTGTTGGCGTCCATCCAGGTTTTTATCTCGCCGAGCCAGCTTTCTAGTGTGCCGGCGTCGAGGAGGTCGCAGCTGCTGTGGCAGAGGTGCCAGGCTGCGTTGCCACTGTCGTTGGATTTGTGGACTTGGCCGGTGAGGAGGCGCACGCCGGCGTCGAGTTGTATTGTTGTGTTGTAGTAGTGGTTGCCGGATGTGGAGAAGGATGTCTCTTTGTTGCGGAGGAAGGGCGAGTTGTGTGCGCCTAGGTAAGTGATGTTGTTGTATGGCCGCGTGCATAGATCGGGTGAGTTGTTGCATGCATTTTGTGCGGAGGCGGGTGTGTAGAGTAAGGGCAAAAGAGCCGCAGCTTGGAGTAGTATGCTTCTTGAGAACATGTTGTGTGAGTTGTGTGTGTGTGATAGTCCTTCTCTTCGTACGGTATAGTAGCCGTTGGTCGTCGTCGTCGTCAAACGGAAGTCGTAAGTCGTATGCAGGGAAAGATCAAGCAGTCAATCAGAAACTCCCAAACAAGGTGAAGGACGATATCGCTCGATGTATAAAACCGTTGTAAAAAGCAAAATGAGGTACTCCAGAAGCATCAGACCCTGGGGTCACATCTGCTATTATACCATTACGCAGCAGTCGTCTCAGCCTAGCCACCCAGACCCTATACAGTAATCATTTGCAAACAGCTGGTAGCTGGGCCCCAAGAGAAAAAAAGTGGCGCGCTACCAACCATCAAACTGCCACAAAGAGTGGAGCCACGCGGAGCATTTTCACAAACGGCCTTCTCGTACTCTTTGCACAGCCCGCGCAACGACGCGGACAAACTGGTGCAAGAGTTTCAGGCCTCGTCACCCCCCGGCCAACCGAGAGCCGCCGCGACGCAGTCGAAACATGGGTTTGATGCATTAATTGGCGACATCGGGTTCTGGGAAGTCCGTTGCTGGCGGGATATGGCAGTGGCAGACGACCAAGACTGCCGTGGGAAGGGCGTTACGCGTCCGCGCGCGGCATGGTGATGTCAGGTTGTCCGATTTTCCATGGACACGACGATCTATTGTTGGAGTGGCGGGCTGGGGCTGGTGGCTTGGCACGTGCATCCGGCTGCACTGGCTCCCGGTAGCGTCGATCTGCTAGCCCTGTCGCGTTATCGAGTGTTGATAATGATAGTAGACCTTGTGGGCTCGCGCTCAAATTTAAAGTCTTATTGCAAGAGACTTTAGGTGTGTACGTTAGTAGGTTAGTAAGTTAATAATAGTAGTTTACTAGAGCTACTACGCTTAATTAGAATAGTTATCTCTATATTTAACTATAGTAGCTAAGATAACTCTATAATAAATACGTAATAAGTTAATTTAATAAGTTTTATAATAGCTTATACTACTTATAGAACTAAAGTTAAAGCTTAAAGTACTTATAAAAAAGCGCTTTCTACTACTATTCTCTTCTTTTCTTTATTATAATTATAAGTAATTAAGACTTTTAAAACTTTCTTTATAATTAATAGTAAATTTAGTATTTTATTATCTCTTTAGTAGAAATAAATACGCTTAGCTTTCTAAATTTTACTTAATTACTTTAGAGTAAACTTATTAGCTATACTAATACTTTAATAAAAGCTATTTTTAATATTAAGATTATTAGTAAATAAATATATAACTACTTTAAGCTTATAAGTAGAGTAAAAATAAGTATACTACTACTATAAAACCTTAGTAATAGTATATAACTTATTTAGGTATATAAATACGTACTAATATTATAGCTTTAGCTTTAGGCTAAACATATTAAGTAGATAAAATTTACGTACTTAAAGCCTTACTTAAAAAGCTAGACTTAAGACTATAGCTTATACTTTATAAGAGGCTAATTTTAGAAAACTTATATAAATATAAAAGAAAGATAGTAAATTAGATTATTACTAGCTTTAGCTTATAGTACGCGTAAAAGTAAAACTAGTAAAAATAGTAGTAATAAAGCTTTATAATAGAATTAGGTTAGTAGCTTTTATAGTACTTTTTTATTTAAGTAAGTAGTAGCGTTATAAGATTATAGGATAGAAAAAACTACTTCTAGACTAGCGCCTTAGCAAATAAGACATAGATTACGTTAATACATTAAGGGATAATAGCAGACGCGATGATGAGCAGAGAAGGGATTGAGATCTACAGCTGATCAAAAGTAAATATGGAGCATATAGCAGCTTCGACGTCTCTCGTGTCGTGCGACTGAGCATCGCAACACCATCGCGACTTCTGCGCGCGGAACATCACACCACACCGCTGCCCAACCAGCCACGTCGAAAAAAATCCGTTGTCCGTCCAACCTCATCGACCGCCAATTCATCATCATCAACCCTCGTCAATCGTCATCATCCTCGAGATACCCACAAAATCTCTCCAGATTCCACGCGTCCCTCTCCACAAACACGGCCAATCATCAACCGCCTCACCATGGTAACCCTCCGCGCTCCATCGTCCCTGCCGTCTACCGAACCGTCCCCTTCGCTCCCACCACCCACTCTGTCATGGCTATCGGGCTCCTGGAATGTAACCCACTCCACACTTCCTATGTGGAAGAAGTCGCGCAACGTACGCATCACCTACACGGCCATTCCCGACACGCAGCCCGCGCAAATCGACGACGTCGTCACGTACCAATCCCTGGGCTCTGAGAAGATCAAGACTGTGCATGGTGTGGACAAGCCATTTGACGTGCCGAACGCAGCATCAGCGCCAGATGCAGAGGGGAGTGACGGCGTAGCGAGTCTGGGATACAACTGGCGCGGCAAGGGATGGCTTGTGATTGCGACGAGCAAGTGGGAAATACTGGGTTATGGTGATGAGGAAGGGACAGGCAACGGTTGGGTTGTCACCTACTTCGCGAAGACCCTGTTCACGCCTGCGGGCGTAGACTTCTATTCGCGGAACGGCAATCTGACGCCTCAGACGGTTGAGGGTATCAAGGCCGGGCTTGCTGGACTGGGTGGTGAGGTCGCAAAGTTGGCAGGCGAGGTGTTTGAGGTCAAGATGGATGGTGACAGGAAGGACTAAGCATGGAGGATATGATGGAGTGATTTGCACATTCAGCTATATACCCCGGGCATGAGGTGAGGCCCATCCAGTTGTTAGCACGAAGGTAGTACAGCAAGACAGCAACCCCTTCTTCTAAGCTGCCATAACGTCTAAAGTACTCCCCCTACGTGTGGTACCTAAGAGGATACCTACTAATGAAGAGTTAGCTAAATGTTTGGAAATGTACTCGTGGCGGCTTCTTTACCATGAGTCGTTCAATCGAGCAGATTGAAAGAGGCATTTGCAGCACTCGCATGCGCCCGGCTCGTCTGTTGGTTATGCTCTGGCTCAAAGTCGAGTTCCAGGAGCAGGTTTGTGTTCTTGGACACGAGTCCTGCTTTCACTGGCGACATCTCGATAAGCCTGCCGTCTGAAGCGGAAACGCCAGTCTGGGGTGTGGATGCCCTACGGGCGTGGTATTCGGCCTCCTCTGCTTTCATCTTTGCAAAGGCTCGCGCGTCATCTTCCTGGACACCACCGCCATTAGCGTATACATCCCACTGCATGGTACTGCAGTCCGATAGCCCCGGAGTCGTCATGCGTGCAGTGGGTGTGTCGGAACGCACAGCACGTCTAGAGGTCGCAGGCAGCGTGTCTTCGAGCATCAAGCTTCGCGTGTTTGGCCGGGCTCCACGAAACGACGTTGCCCCGTTTGCTGGTTTCAGCGTTGATTTGACGCCTCCACTGCGCCGCTCACACATGTGGCACTTGCAAGGATCGCAGCACTCCGCGACGCAAGGATGACCACAGGCCTCGACCCGCTTGGAGCACTTCTGTGTGCAGTTGATCATGTCGTGCTCGAAGGGGTGACATGGGTACGGGCAGCGATGACCACACGGCAAAGAGCCTTCGCACTTGATGTCGCAGCCACCTTTGATGAGATCGAAATCTTCGGGCACTTCGCACCATATTTTGCGTCCGTGGTTGCGGCATTTCAGCGGGAACTGATAACCCACGCGTCGCTCTTGACCTGTAGCTG